CGAACGGATTACAGTAATGCCTCTCTAATTGACGCTCGGATTGCGCACGAAATTGGACAATTTGGGAAGAGGAGATACGATTATTGGAGCCTTGCAGCTCGTTTTTTATAGTTGTTGATAATTCGTGACTATGAAACGAGGAGGCGCAAGACTCAAATTAATCGTGTCTCCTCTTCCCAAATTATCCATTTTTGTGCGCAATCTAAGCGTCAATAAGGGAGACATTGCTGTATACGGTAAATCGTCGCGGAGTTTCCGAGGAGCCGTGTGACATTCGCTCGGCCATTTTGTTAGTTTGACCGTGGATAAGTCCGTCGCACTGTCGAATAAAACGGGAATCTGATTTAAATTCGCCCGCGAAGAATTCGGAAGAGTCGGCAGAAGCTGAACAATGAGAAATGCGGAATGCTCGAACAAAAAGAAAAATGGTGGGGGAAGAAACGACGCGAGAAGAACAGAATATTACGTTACGCCGTAGAGAAGTCTCGGTCGCGTTAATTCGCCGACAGAAGGCATTAAAAGCGAGCACGCATTACGCAGATTCTTGCGCGCGGGCGCCGGCGATTTACAAAAGAATTTTCGCGAGTTACGGACGAAGGCGTCTTGAAAAAGAAAAAGGCGCAAGACTCGGCCGGCTCTCCGTTTAATCTTGCAGGAAGGCGTCTCGCGGATGTGCACTCCGAACTTATTATTTATGTAATCAGCCTTCTCCGCGCAACATCGCGAAGTCTGTTGACCCGATAACGGGCTGCAAGTTCCTCGAACACCAGTTGCACGATAGAAAACTTCCCCTATAAATAAAACGTGTGATCGATCGGTGCGTATATTTAACGGCGGGAGCGCGGTGTAATGGCCTGTAAACCCCGGGGAAGTCGTTTAACTTCGCCCTCCCCGACTAATTAACCAGAAATTTTCATATTTCTTTCCAACTACGCACGCGGTGCACACGATCCCGCGTGTTTCATTCCGCACGCGCGCCCGTTTTCTCTTCTTTCTTTTTTCTTTTCGTTCGCGTTACGATCCGTTTACGTTTTTAACGAAGCTGATTTCGAGAGTGACCGATTTCCGAAACCGCGCGTTCGATTAATTTAACCTTGCTGAAAATTGAGACGACTTCGGACGCATAATCGGTCGCGCATAATCGACGATTATTCTCGAATCAATTTTTACTTGCAATTCGTGCGACACGATCTACTAATACATCGAAATATCTTAGAATGTTTCATAGAATTAAAGTATCTCAATCAATTTAAATTAAATATGCAAATATTATTATACTTATTAACCCTTTGCACTCGAAGCTATTTGAACTGTAAATATAAAATCATTTTTCTCGCGTATAGTATTTTTTATTGCATATGAAAATATTTTATGCATATGAAATTGATTCTTGGGACTCGCACAACGGTTATATTCTTAACAATTTTTTAAATCTAAACTTTGTTAATATAAAAATTATCTTAAAACGCGATATAACAAATGTTAGTGGTGCCTCTGAGTCACCACTCGACTGCAAAGGGTTGATATGCGCGAATTCTTCGCGGGCGAATGTAAAGAATATGGGAATAAATCAGATTCCCGTTTTATTCGACAGTGCGACGGACTTATCCACGGACAAACTAACAAAATGGCCGAGCGAATGTCGCACGGCTCCTCGGAAACTCCGCGACGATTGACCGTATATAGTAATGTCTCCCTTATTGACGCTTAGATTGCGCACAAAAATGGATAATTTGGGAAGAGGAGTAACGCTTAATTTGAGTCTTGCGCCTCGTTTTATAGTCACGAATTATCAACAACTATAAACCTGTCTCTTATACACATCTAGATGTGTATAAGAGACAGCGCTATAACTGTTACAGTCAACTGTTATATAACTATAAAGATGTGTATAAGAGACAGCGCTATAACTGTTACAGTCAACTGTTATATAACTATAAAGATGTGTATAAGAGACAGCGCTATAACTGTTACAGTCAACTGTTATATAACTATAAAGATGTGTATAAGAGACAGCGCTATAACTGTTACAGTCAACTGTTATATAACTATAAAGATGTGTATAAGAGACAGCGCTATAACTGTTACAGTCAACTGTTATATAACTATAAAGATGTGTATAAGAGACAGCGCTATAACTGTTACAGTCAACTGTTATATAACTATAAAGATGTGTATAAGAGACAGCGCTATAACTGTTACAGTCAACTGTTATATAACTATAAAGATGTGTATAAGAGACAGCGCTATAACTGTTACAGTCAACTGTTATATAACTATAAAGATGTGTATAAGAGACAGCGCTATAACTGTTACAGTCAACTGTTATATAACTATAAAGATGTGTATAAGAGACAGCGCTATAACTGTTACAGTCAACTGTTATATAACTATAAAGATGTGTATAAGAGACAGCGCTATAACTGTTACAGTCAACTGTTATATAACTATAAAGATGTGTATAAGAGACAGCGCTATAACTGTTACAGTCAACTGTTATATAACTATAAAGATGTGTATAAGAGACAGCGCTATAACTGTTACAGTCAACTGTTATATAACTATAAAGATGTGTATAAGAGACAGCGCTATAACTGTTACAGTCAACTGTTATATAACTATAAAGATGTGTATAAGAGACAGCGCTATAACTGTTACAGTCAACTGTTATATAACTATAAAGATGTGTATAAGAGACAGCGCTATAACTGTTACAGTCAACTGTTATATAACTATAAAGATGTGTATAAGAGACAGCGCTATAACTGTTACAGTCAACTGTTATATAACTATAAAGATGTGTATAAGAGACAGCGCTATAACTGTTACAGTCAACTGTTATATAACTATAAAGATGTGTATAAGAGACAGCGCTATAACTGTTACAGTCAACTGTTATATAACTATAAAGATGTGTATAAGAGACAGCGCTATAACTGTTACAGTCAACTGTTATATAACTATAAAGATGTGTATAAGAGACAGCGCTATAACTGTTACAGTCAACTGTTATATAACTATAAAGATGTGTATAAGAGACAGCGCTATAACTGTTACAGTCAACTGTTATATAACTATAAAGATGTGTATAAGAGACAGAAATTATAGTCATATAACAGTTACTGTTACAGTTAAATAACAGTTAATAAATTATAGTTATATAACAGTTGACTGTAACAGTTATAGCGAGTGCGAATAACCTTGGACGAGGTTCGAGTCGCCGAAAGAGTTTCGCAGTTTTCGATAGGATCAAATCTTCTTTCCCGGTTCCAAAAGTTTCCCGCAATTACTGCACGAACGTCCCTAATGAACTCGGAAAGATGCGTGCGAACGATCGATGAAGCGCGCGGTCGGCATCCTCGGAGAAAGTTATTTCGGTCGAGCTTTCCCTCCGTCTACGGTGGATTAGCATGTTCTCTCAAGATATTGCTAATTACAAAACGAGCAACTCGGTCCGTCCGAGGGCGTCTTAATGAGGTGTCTGCGGCGGTTCACCGAGGGACTGATAAAACTGGCTGCAACGCGAGCGATAAGGATCCTAACATAGACGACTGGTGGTCGTTCGGTAGCCGAGAATTCGGTCGGACACGAATGCGGCGAACCTAACATCCGGCAGTATCGAGGGCTGCGTGACCCACTGCGGACGATGGCCAACCTTTTGCGGTGCTCCGTCCCAACAGCCATTCAATCGTAGCCAATGCATCGTCCTTCCCTTATCCAGTCGATAATTACATTTATCGTTTCTTCGATATCAAAATCGAATTCCGGTGTAGCCATAAAACGAACATAAATTTTCTTTTTCTCTTTAGAAAATGAAATAACGGAATAGAACCGACTTACAGGAATTAAGAATGCGTTGTGTAAATTATTGTGTTTTATTCGAATTTAATTTAATCTATTTGAATTTAATTTAATTTAAATTGTTTGAATTCAATTCAATACAAATTAATTTTATTCAATTTAATATAATTTAATTTATTTGAATTGAATTGAATTGAATCGAATTGAATGTGGAATCGAATTGAATGTGGAATCGAATTGAATTGAATCGAATTGAATGTGGAATCGAATTGAATTGAATCAAATTGAATAGAATTGAATTGAATGGAATCGAATTGAATGGAATCGAATTGAATGAAATCGAATTGAATGAAATCGAATTGAATTGAATAGAATTGAATTGAATCGAATTGAATGGAATCGAATCGAATTGGATTGAATCAAATTGAATAGAATCGAATTGAATGTGGAATCGAATTGAATTGAATCAAATTGAGTAGAATCGAATGGAATGGAATCGAATTGAATTGAATCAAATTGAGTAGAATCGAATTGAATGGAATCGAATTGAATTGAATCGAATCGAATTGAATTGAATCGAATTGAATTGAATCGAATTGAATTGAATCGAATTGAATGGAATGGAATGGAATCGAATTGAATCGAATCGAATTGAATTGAATCGAATTGAATTGAATTGAATTGAATCAAATTGAATAGAATCGAATGGAATGGAATCGAATTGAATGGAATCGAATTGAATTGAATCGAATTGAATTGAATCGAATTGAATTGAATCGAATCGAATTGAATTGAATCGAATTGAATTGAATCAAATCGAATCGTATTTTAATTCAATTTATTGTATTTTATTCTATTTTCTGTTATTATTTACTTTATTTTCTTGTTTTATTTTGTATACCATGAAATGCATAAGAAGATGGATCACTTGCAATCCGTAAGGAAATCAGTAAAATACATTTACATAAATTAAGAATGAAAATGACTTAAAAATGAGAATCTAACGAACCGAAGCGTGACAGAAGAAAATTTAACAGACGTTCGCCGACAATAGCGTAACTCTGAAAAACAGTTTTTAGCCGCTCGAAGTATCGAAACGCGGTGTGCTCAAAGATTTATCGATAAATGTTCATCGCGCAGTAAAAACCGTCGTTCGCTGGCTAAAGAATCCGCTCTAATTTTTTGTTAATTTTGCTCAGGCTCGGCGGAGGCGTAGCTAGCGAAGGAAGAGGAATGTTTAAAAGGGAACACGGCGAGGAAAAAAGGGCTCACCGGCGCAAGAAGATACTCGGCAACAAGAGAACGCAAAGAACGCGGATTTATGACAGCTTATCTTTTTCCCGGCAAAAATTCGTCGCATCTCGGGGCTGAAAATATCGAAAATTTTCGCCGACAGAATTCACACGTCACAAGAGACACTGCCGAGGTATTGTTCTATTTTTTCGCTCCTCTCCAATCTCTCTCTCTCTCTCTCTCTCTCTCTCTCCTCTTTTTTTAAATCTTTTTTTATTCCACGGGTATCGAGTTTCCCAGTTGAAATGCACCGCTGCTGTTTGAACTGGAGATCGATCTCCGGTTTAGAGACCGGGTATAACGATCACGGTTGCTCGCCAAAGGGAGTACACATTTTTCCGCTCATTAACCAAATGGGCGACCGGGTGTGCGCGATTTGTTTATTCGTGGATAATGTAATTATCAATCTACGGGAACGGTTTCCCCGGCGCCTAAAGAAGCGGCGGTTCAATGTTTGCTTGGTCGGCTTTCTTAACCCTCGTGTGTATTTGTGTGTGTGTGCGTGTGTGATCAGTTTCACATCATTCCCAGAAAATTCTAGGGAAATTTGTTTATTCAAAATAGCGTTAGTTAACAGTCTGAGAAAATGCTTACTCGAAACAATATTTTATTACGCCGCAACGCGCTTTAACATCTTTCCCTCGGCTACTGATTTCTCGACTTCTCGAGGCGATCTCAAATTCTTCTTGCACCATAAATTAACCTATCGTAAAGTGCGATCTTTCAGCTTTAATGTAAGCACTGAAAAGTTTAAAAGCTCCGACGGTAATACGTTGCAAAACCGATTCGAAGGGAGCCCTCAACAACAAGTAATTTTCCACCGCGCTCGCGGTCGAGATAAATCAATTTTTCTTGACCAGATATTAAGTTTTGATCGAAATCTAAATAATTTTCTCATAAAATGCGATTTTTCAGCTTTAATTTAAGTGCTATAGAGTTTCAAAATACCCTCGGTAATACATTACAAAACCGATCTGAAAGAAGCCCTCGAAAATGAGTAATGTTCCTCCGCGCTCGCGATCGAGATAAATCAATTTTTCTTGACCCGATATGAAGCTTTGATCGAAACCTAAATATTTTTCTCATAAAGTGCGATCTTCGAGCTTTAATTTAAGCGCTGTAAAATTTCAAAATTCCCACGATAATACATTGCAAAACCGCTCCGAAAGAAGCCCTAAAAAACGACTAATTTTCCTTCGCGCTCGCGGTCGAGGTTAAATCAATTTTTCTTGACCAGATATTAAATTTTGTTCGAAATCTAAATATCTTTCTCATAAAGTGCGATCTTCCAGCTTTAATTTAAGCGCTGTAAAGTTTCAAAATTCCCTCGGTAATACATTACAAAACCGATCCGAAAGAAGCCCTCGAAAATGAGTAATTTTCCTCCGCGCTCGCGGTCGAGATAAATCAAATTTTCTTGACCCGATATTAAGCTTCGATCGAAACCTAAATATCTTTTTCATAAAGCGCGATCTTCCAGCATTAATTTAAGCCCTCGAATCGATCGATTCGAAAGCCGAGGAGCTAGTTTGCAGCATCTCGCCGGCTAGACGCGGCTCCTTGGCCGAATCCGTGCGCTCTCGGACAGCTCGGAGCTTCGAGATTGGCCAGGAGGAGAGTCTGGAATATTTTAGCTAATCCACTTTCGTCTACTTAGACCGAAAGTCCTTAAGCACTGTCAATCTGCGAGCCACGATCGCGTATTCTTCGCGTCCTGTTACGGCTGGTTCCGATACGGTCGGGCCCGTTGACACGCGGCTCCCACAAAAACTTCAGTTTCAGGGAGCCGGCCAATCTCGTTAAGTAGCTGGAGGCTAATCAGCTTGGCGAACTCGCCGCGGCTAAAGCGTTGAATATTAACCGCATCGCCGGCGAGATTACACGTTGTCCGATTCCTGGGGAAAATGTTCGAGTTGCCGGATCCGCGGAAGAAATAGCAACAATGTCCCGAGGGATAATGGTCCGGGACAGCTCGGTAGCTCTGCGACTTCAGCGATATTAGAACGAATGGCTCGGGGCGAAAGGGTTCAGGCTACGATTAAATAGAGCGGCGTAATCGTCGGTCGCGTAATAATTATATACTCGAGACCACGGCGCTCGTCCCGCGCGGCATTAACCCGACTGCAACTGCTAAATAAAAAGGAAAAAAAAACACCGCAATCCCAACGATCAAAACACGAGAAAAATCCGCCACCGTTTCTGTATATCGCTTGCGATTGTCTCATTGATAGACTGCGGATTTTATGCATTCGTTAGGCAAGACTTGAAACAATGAGAACGTTAAAAGAATTTAAAAATATTTCTTTATTATTTTCAACTGACATCGGCGATGACACGGAAACTTTTCCCCAAAATTATTATTCAAGCGGAAACTGAAAGATTCCTGAGATCATTTGCAACAACTTTTTCCTTAGCAAAAATGCGATCCGCGGCTTCATTTACGAGTTATTAAGGAAAAACGTTGACCAATGAGAGGCGAGATCAGCTGGCGCGCGACGGCTGGCGGCCCAGCCAGCGACCGGGCTACGCGCGCTCGTTGGCTGCGCCGCCTCGCGCTAGCGAAACTCGTCTCCTATTGGCCAGCGTTTTTCGTCAATAACTCGTAAACGAAGCCGCGGATTGCATTTTCGCTGAGGAAAAAGTTGCTCCGAATAATCCCGGGAACCTAAATTTTCGAATTGCCAGATATTTTTGGGACACCTTGTACATTGCATATATATATTGTACACAGTCGCCCATTGTTCTCTCGCAATTCGTCGGTGCACGCCGCAGTACCTGTAAGCGGATTCCCCATCGGTTTCTGCTAAATGCGGATCTAATGAGTTCGTAATATGTAGTGAATTTTCTGGCCCGTTCACGTTCCTCCGACGCGATCAACCGGTCTACAACAAGAAACACTTTGCAGTCTATTGTTCCGATCGTTATACCCCACGCTAACGAGAACTAATTGACAGGCGGACGCATCGATCCGCATTTAACGGGCCGTACCTCATTAACTCTTATAAAGCGAGTGGTTTTAATAATTCCGCGCGTACAGCGGAGAGCAGTTGAATTCGAGGTGCTAAATGGGTTGCGTTCAATTTAGAAATCACGGACGATAATTGGCACGCCTATCAAACTAAACTCGTGGATCGAGATAAAAGCATTCGGAAACAATCGCGAGATCGTACAATTTCTCTCGCGAATAAATCGAACAGATCTGCTCCATATTTTTCAACGAACATCAACGAACGTTTCTGCAGCCGAAAAATCGGTTGATTTCGCGAGCGTGCGAATTACACGCGAGGTTCGAAGCAGCGTGAAAGTTGGGGGTCGAGGGTCGTCGTAGTCGACGAGTCGAAGAATCGAGAACTTGGGAAAGCGGAAAATGTTGCGCGGCGCTCGAAGATTCGAAGATCCGCGAGCGGGGTTTACGAGACCGTGATCGCGCGGCTCGAGAAATTAGGCTTGGAGATTGAAGGGTCGTCGAGAACGCGAGAGAATCGAAGATTTAAGAAGACGTGTAAAAGTTCAAGAGTGCTCGAGGATCCGCGGGCTCGGCGGCTGAATTTTTAAGGCTCGCCGTTCCGTGGCCCGAAATTTACGTTCGAGGGCTGTTGGCCTGTTAACTCTTTGGGCTCCGGTGGGATTAAAAAGGTTGCATGTTTTTGATGCAAGGTTAACGAATGGCGAGCCATTTTTTGACCTCGAAATGACCTCGAAATATTGCGCATTTGTGAACCTATGTGGTACAGTGGGACTATTTAAGTCCCATCCTATAACAACAAATTGAATTGAATTATTCTTATTTATTTATATTTTTATATTATGCGATTCCTTTGTTAATAATAACATAAACATTTCGTTTAACGCTAGATTTACGGAGCACAAAATACAGCTGTTTCATATCAGTTTATAAAAGCATGCTATTCCTTTGTTAATAAAAATATACAAATTTTGTTTAATACTAGATTTACGGAGCACAAAAAACACCTGTTTCATATCAGTTTATTAAAGTAACAATATGGCATTTATTCTGATTTTTAACAAGCGCTATTGTAACACATTTTATTATATTATTTTTTATATATTTATTATATCTATTTATATATTATTTTTTATATTATTATTATATATATATATTATTATTTATATATTTATTATATTATAAATTGAATAAATAACTCAAAAATGTATCTTTACGATACGAGTAATCGTAAATTAAAAAATTAGTCAACTGTCATCTTGACGTCATCATGGTTCCGTGAATCTGGCGTTAATGAAAATATAACAATTTTGTTCAATTTGAAACGTCATAAAATTTCTGTGCAACACAGGTCTATTTTATTTTCTGAAAAACTGTGCCCCAAAGTTTTTAAATCATCGATTCAAAAGCTGAAAAATACTGAAGAGTATTTTCAGGAAAAACTTGAAAACCCGAAACCCGTCGGACAGATCCGGGAGTATTTAATCATTTTCTTTCTCGTGGACGGTGAGATCGTCGCTGCATTGTCCTCGCGACAGTCTCGAGGATCGCTGATCGATTCTTGCGATCAAAACGGTTGTTCGGTCGGGGGCTTAAACGGGTTACCGGAGGACTAATAGGCCCCGGAATCATGTAGAACAATCGAAACACGGGGAATCCTCTCCGGATTATCGAATACAGCGGCGCAACCGAGCGTAGAATCACCGATACCATTATAATCCGATTGTCGATGTTATGGACGTCGACGGTCGACGGGGAACTGTATCCAGCCCGGAGCTTCCGACGACGCATCGACATCGACCCCCCACCCTCCGGCCTGTCCGCGTTAACGCGAGGACAATTTTTCTAACACGCTGCCGTCGTGCCGCCGTGCCGCGGCAGCTCGCGTTTTATTCGACCGTGACACACGCGGGGATCGATATCCGCGCTCGCTCTTATTTATCATTCGTTTTACTTCGCTATCCGCCTCGCGCCGGTCCGCTCGATGAAATTATAACAAGATACGTAGAGACGCCTCTAACCTTCGACTTCCGTCAGGCTCTTCCATTGTGATCGAGCGTCGACAGTTTAATTCGTTCGACTACGGAACTTATGCAGATTTAATGGACGCTATTGCAAGGAAGTTCGCGGAGTCTACTCTCTGGGTTCGGAGAGAGAGAGAGAGAGAG